AGATCGATTGAATTTATTGCTAATATTTCTAATGATTTGGACGTTTATGAATGTTTTTTTTTTCATTTGACTAGGGTGAATGTGGAAGCAATTGTATTTTATCACTAATGTTGTGTGTCTGATTTTTCGAATCAGAAAATTGCAATTGCACTTGATTGACACGATGTTGGGATTAACACAATGTATATTCTTCTTGCATGTGCATTTTTGCCGCCTAGACTTTTGGCACCTGTACATGGAATTTGAGGCGAAACTAGGCGACTGCTCACGACTGCCTTCGCTAAGGTGGCGGGCTGAGAAGTGTTTGGAGGAGAACCCACGGGTTAAATTCTTCAATGCTCTCGCTGCTGGTGGTCCAAAGGAGTTTTTGTAATTAGGTGGCATTGTTGACTTTTCAGATTTGTGGATGATAAGCTGTTGGCGGAAATTTGTGTACCAGGATTACAACATTGAGCATGGAGAGGTAAAAATGTTATCCACTCGTTGTTCGTTTATCATCGTCACCGTATAATCGGACTTATATTTCTCTAGCAGTTTGTTAAAAAGGATAGCTGATGATGCTTAAAGATAGGTTACAAGTGTTAGATAACCTGGTCGGAAAATAATGGCTTCCCTTTGTGCAAATCTGTGGGCTTTGATTGCTATAGGTATCCCCAGACCAGGTTCTCAATCCCTGTATTTTTGGTGTCAGGAAGCGTTTAGAACGAGTCGTTTCAAAAACCTTGAGATGCAGCGGATGTGACAACTTCTCAGTCTGTATAATAGATATCCTTTAGTAAGAGATCTAGTGCGGGGACCTTCAAGTTTCATTATGTTATGTCACCTTGTCTTCGTTGACAGCTCGGTTGTTTAGGATGTTGTTATATCCTTTGAGTAATTAGGTTTTACGAACCCATAGTGGGAGGTCGTGCTTGATGATAATTTGTAGAGAAGGCATTTTCCAAGTTAACCGTATTGTCATTTCGCTGTTGACTGCACCGTTCTTAATTCGAATTGTAAATTCAAGACGGATTTCCTTCATCAGTCTGACTTAAATATGCTGTCAATTTCATATTCCTCACTGGTAATTCACTTCAAAAGTCTCGAGTCGTCGTAGTGTAGACTACATGGAGTCTCTAAAATTTGAGGTGTCGCAAAGTGTGCTCAGTAATTTGACTAATAACTTCCAATCTGATTATTCAAGTTCGTTCCAGTACAGGCCTCCCGTATAATTCGTAAATAAGACGAAATGTCCATTCAGCACTCACTTAAGAAAAGCCTTTAATTCTGAGTTAGGACAACTTTAAGTCGACCAAAGGGAGGTCGCAGTAATGATGAAATTGAGTTAACGTTGGAAGATTTTGGTTCAGTCAGAAGTACTCAATAATAATGTGGGAGGAATTTAGTAAGGGATTCGAAATGCGCCATTACTCCAGCTCCATCTGCTTGTGGGAGCGACACCCAGCTCAACAGGCAACTGGCGTCAGGAAATGCTTGGTCCTTAGCTTATCCTCGGAATAGGATTTGGAGTAAGCCACAAAGCTTTTATTAACTGTTTTCACAAAACATAGCTGAGGCATTGTAAAATAATGACAAATTAAAACTCCGAATTTATGATTGCATTAGTGTGTTACAGCGTGTCCGATGCAATGGGTAGAATTTGATGAAGTTGAGAGGTTGAACAGAGTATTGTAAAAATCTAGTCTTCTCTGGGTCCGTCGTCCTCCTTTCCTTCCTCTTCCACTGTCATATCACCTCCGAAGGCTTCGTTCTCTTCACCTCCCATATGCATTTCGAAGGTCTCATTATCTCCATTATTGACAACTTTTTCATCCTTCTTTGTACTCCTTATGGACGTGAGTCTGCCCAGTTTACCATGCTGCTTCAAAGATTTTAAGTGCAATGAACGGTGTCCGGAACCCGAACGCAACACACAGGTGGGGTTTCTCAGTTGCGATGATGTGGGACGTAAAAGGCTGCCTGAATGGCAGCGACCGTCACAACGGTTCCTCGAAGGGTTTGTCACGAGATCCATGGCGGAAGCAAAGGTGGTGCTGTATGCAGCACATTTATTATCGTCTC